TATATTTATTTATTTTATTTTATTTTATTTTTTTAATAAATGCTGTTCTTTTTAACTTTTTATTAATCAAAGAATCCTGAAAAAGTATCACAGGTTCTAAAAAATATTAAGCAGCACAACTGTTTCCAACATTGATAATAAATCAGCATATTATACTGATTTCTGAAGGATCATGTGACACTGAAGACTGGAGTAATGGCTGGTGAAAATTCAGCTTTGCATCACAGGAATAAATGATATTTTAAAGTATATTAAAATAAAAACATTATTTTAAAATGCAATAATATTTCACAATATTACAGTTTTTTCTGTATTTTGATCAAATAAATGCAGCCTTGATGAACTTAAGAAATATAAGAAGAACATAAGAGATCATACTGATCCCAAACTTTTGAACGGCAGTGTATATACATAGTTTGGGGTGTACAATATGCTAAAAATATTCCTCTGCAAGCAGAGGACGCAAAATACAAGTGCTGACTTAATCTTTACCTGAACAAATCACTATTACACTCTTATGATGTGGCAAATCTATAGCAGCTCATGCCATTTTGGCTCATATGAGATCTCAGGTTTTCAGCATAGAAGAATTCAGCTTAAATTCAAAGGCAGACTAGTTTCATGGCTAGAAATGCTGTCAGTGTGTAAGATGGTGGAGTGCGGTGACCTTTACCCAGAGCGCACACACTGCAGAGGAGAGCCAATAAAAGGCGGTGAAGAAAAGGAGAAAGACAATTAAAATGCTGCGTGTGTGTGAGCGGGTTATGAGGTAGTCTCAGACACCTGTGCAGCTTTATATCCAACTCTAAGCACTCTGTCATCCCACACACACACTCAAATGAGATTCTCGACTCATCAGTTTCTTCCATTCACACCTGATTTACAGACGGGGGCCGGAGCATATTTGAAAAAACACACACACACACGCCCGCTGTAATCATAGCACCTCACACACACATACTCCATATGAATACACAACCTTATGCAACCATAATTATGTGCCAGGCAGACAAACACACACACAGAAATGATAGCCGCCTTTATTCTCGCTTCCCTGCAAACCACGTTCCACACGACTGGCGAGAATCATTACTGGCCTTCCTCTGATACGGCTGCAGTACCAACAGCAATTATTTTTAAAAGCCTGAGCTGAAAACAGACAACCGATGCACAACACACGCGCATAATCATTATTTCTGCAGTCCAACCGGAGTGTGTGTGTATGTATGTATACATTAGGCCCTGGACAGTGGAGACACTTTATTTTTTTCTTTTTCAGTTTTATTGTTATTCTGTGGAGTTTGCTGACCATAAAATGACGAGGATGGTTATCCAAAACCAATTAGAGTTACCCTACAACACTGACAGCACTTAAAGAATGAGAGTGAGTGGTTTAAATAACTACACTGGCCCTACTCTCTGCATGAGCACTGCAGTTCTGCACAGATGTCAGGAACTCCAAGAAAAAGTGTTACGGAGGGGTTTGCCAAAGTCAGAGAACTCCCTTCCTTATGGACATCACTGTTGGTTCTGGAACATTCCTACCAACCGATCAGATTTTAGGATTAAGTTCGGGTTTGTGGCTTCAGTAACATTATTATTAGTCAACCATATGAGGTAATTAAAGGGACTGCTCACCCAAAACTGAAAATTCGGTCATTATTTTCTCACCCTCATGTTGCTCCAAACACATACGAATTTGGTTAATCTTCGGAACACAAATTAAGATATTTTTAATGAAACCTGAGAGATTCCTGCCCCTCCCTCGAAAGTCCAAGCAACCAAAACTTTTAAAGGGGTCATATGATGCTGCTAAAAATTTACGCGTTGCGTTGCATTGCATCGCGCCGCGTAAACATAAAACCCTTTCTGCATTTGTGATCTGAGAAATGACAAACAACAAGTGCTACTCTACTGCCCAAAACTCGCGTTTGAATCATCAGTGGCAACGAAAAACACAGCGGCCTAGCGTGAGGGGAAGCCCCGGCTTAGCGTGCGCTGAAGCGCACAGTGATAGAGTGAGCTGAGGCGGGCTGGACTCCGCTTTGTCCACGGTGAAAGTTGATGTATTTCCTCAGCGACCAGCACAGATCAGCTCTAGGTATGACGAAGCGGATATCGTCCTCTTTTGGAAGACCAAACAAAGTAGTTTCGCTTTCACAACGAAGCACACAGCATCTTCAGGACATGGCTGCAGCGTCAACAATACTACAGTGAGAATAAAAGTTACGCCTTCTTTCTTTGCGTGAACATTTGGGCGGCGTTATGCAAATCTTCCCAGATCGTGACGTAGGTATGTGGGGGCGTGTTAGAACGAGCCGTTTTAGGTAGGTGTGGCTGACTCTTAACTTTTACAAAGAATATCTCTTTGGTTTTGAGACTTTAGTGTTTGCAACTTTACAGATCTTCTTTATGCACCAAGAGCTTGTAACACTCCAAAGAGAAAGGAAAATTTGAAATCCCATCATATGACCCCTTTAAGTATATTTTATTAAGTACTTATAAAATGCATTATAATTTTCAGAATTAAAATTGAAAAATATTTAAGGAAATGGAAATATATTTTATTTTTTAATTCAATTAGTAAAAAGGAAATGTACATGTTATTTTTTTTAAATGCAATTAGACTCACAATCAGGTCATCTTAATAATAATAAAAAAAAAAAATCCATTATTTTTCATGCTTTTTCAGCAAAATCGTTTTTTTTCTGTTTTAATGTAAATGAAAGCATAAACTGTAAATAATATAATATAAAAGCCTAATCTGTTCATCATATAAAGTGATCTTTTCAGAAGACTTTGATTACTTTTACAATGTCTTTGTGTACTTTTTAATGAAATGAATAAACAAATACTAGTATGGGAAACAGAAAATGCAAATGACATTCATTTTAGTCATTTTGCACCAAATGCTGCACGTATGGTTATGAACACATGTCAGTTAAGATACAGGAGTATGTTGTTACTTTACAGGGATTTTGCATATTCTATTTCTTACTGAATTAAGACCATACACATACATCTACAAAGCTGCAGTTATTCTAGTGGCTGATGTTCCCAAATACTTAAATACTATAGTATTTGACTACCGACGCCAAGATCGTGGGTTCGATTACCCTGAGAATGCATGAACTAATAACAAAAGTATACCTTCAATGCAGTGTAAGTTGCTTTGGATAAAATCGTCTTGACTGTTGCATAAATGTACATGTTTTGTCAACAAATATAGACTGAACAATGAATCCCAATATGCATATGCATCAGTCCTACCTCCTCCTGAGAGCACCTGCTCTCACTGTGCGCTCTCTGTAGATCTGCGCTCATCTGTCTGACTCGCTCCTCCTGAGTCTCCCTCTCCTCTGTCAGCTGGATCAGGCACTGCTGCAGACGGGCCTGCTCACTCCTCTGGGCCGTCACCTCTCGACTGTACTCAGCCAGCTAGAACACACAGCTAACTGGTGATATCTGTCTCCAGTGTGTTGGCATGGCTCACATTGTGTCTGTGTGTTAGTGGAAGTGAGCGTACCAGCTCCATATACTCTTTATGAGACGCCTGTGCTGCGCTGAGCTCCAGTCTCAGCTCTCTCCCTCTCTGATCGGCCTTGGCTGCCTCTCGTACCCCCTGCTGCCACCGCTCCCGCTCCTGCTCCAGATCCAGCTTCAGCCTGGACACTGTAGCCTGCAGAGTGAGAAAAGAGCAGCAAGAAATGCAACATTTAATTTACACTACTGTTCAAAGATTGGGGTCAGTAAGATTTATAGATTTATTTATAGAAATTAATACTTTTATTTAACAAGCATGCATTAAAAAGCTTTCACATTGTCACAAAAAAAATAAAGATAAAAAAAAAAAAATACTGTTCTTATGAACTTTCTATTTATCAAAGATTCCTGAAAAAATCTATCATGGTTTCCATAAAAAATATTAAGCAGCACAACTGTTTACAACATGGATGATAATAAGAAATGTTCAGAGGAAGAAGATTTCGATTTTATTTTATGTTTTCTGTTTTCATTTGAATTTTAGTTCAAGTTTTAATAACTTTGTTGTGTTTTTATATTATTTTAATGTCTATATAGTTTTTTTTAATTAAGTTTTAGTTTCAGTTTATTTCGTTTTAAATTTAAATAAAACTTAATGAATCTTAAGAAACGAAAATGAGAAATGTTGACTTGATAACTAGCTGAAATAAAAAAAAAAAAAATTTTTAATATTTTATTTTATTTCAGTTGTTTATTATTTTTTTTTATTATGGTTTTAGTTTTAGTTAATGATAATAACCCTGTTTCTAAAGGATCATGTGACAATGAAGACTGGAGTAATGACTGCTGAAAATTCAGCATGGTCATCACAGGAATAAATTAAATTTAAAAATGTATTACAACAGAAAACACTTATTTTAAATAGTTATATTATTTTACATTATTTCTGTTTTAACTGTATTTTTGTTTACATAAATGCAGCCGTAGTGAGCATAAGAGACTTTTAAAAACATTGTTTCTATTAAAAACATAAAAAAACTAAAACTTTTGAACAGTAGTGGACACCACCATAAAATATTACATTTTCTTACTACTCCTTTAAAACCATACTGGTTAACCAGTTCAAGTAGCATAGTACAATATAGTTAAACAACTGCAGGTCCCCGCCAGCTGATACAAGGTCAGGGTTTCTGCAGACTTGAACAAGTTAAATTTAAGACTTTTTAAGACCTTTTTAATACCACCTTATATGAAATTTAAGACCTAAACCTGTAATGGAAATACACATTTTATTACATACATATATGTAATATTTAATGTGTATAAATTAAAAAGAAAACAAAATATCAATGCTGTAATAAATGGTATTTATTACTATGAACATTTGTATATGGTAATTTTTGGAGAAAAAAAGGCACTCTTCCGTGTGAACTTGAGTATAAATATACACATTTTCTGCCCCCATGTCTTGAATTTGTGATCATTCTGAATGTATTTTAATAGACTGAATCATGCAGTGATCAGGCAGAGCGCTAGACTTCACGTAATGCGTGCACTCTGTAAGTGCTTTGAATGTTTGTTTTTTTGCGTCGTGAGAATATTGAGTAAAATAGCTCACTTGTCATGGTGTTATTTAACTATATCATGTTATGAATAAACTAAACATTTTGAATTTTTACCTCAGTGTGTTTCTTCTGAGTTTATGTGTGCTGTCACGCTCATTTGTTCTGAAGTCTCGAGACAAACAGAGTGAGCCTCAGCGCGAGCTTGTATTCTGTATTCTGCTAACTTACTGCTATTCTCTCTGATGACGCAGTAATTTACCGCGGGAAGAAAAACTCTTCGGTCTGTCCAATGATTGTAAAGTCATTAGGTGCATCAGACTTAAGATATTTTAGCGGTAATGAGACCAAAAATAATTAAGACCCATCGAATCCGAATTTAAGACATTTTAAGACTTTTTAAGGCCTTATATTAGGAAAACGTTATTTAAGACTTTTTAAGGACCCGCGGACCTTCAGGGGAAGGTGCTCTGTCCAGGTTAAACGATATGGCCAACTTTGTTCCTAGTGACTCATAGTCCAATAATTAATCACTCAAACTTGTTTGTACCAGCTAATGACTAGGTTTGGATGGGTTATAGCACCTGGAGTTTAGGCTGGATTATTAATATATGGTGTTCCCATAATACCTCTAGGTAGTGTTTCTCCACTTGCTCATCTCTGGTCTCCAGTTCTCTCCTGCACAGCTGCAGCCGAGTCTGGCTGTTCACCTCTTCTTCCTGCAGCCTGTGGATGGTGAGCTGCAGCTCAGAAACATGCTCCTGATGTGTGTTTAGAAGCTTCTCCTGTTCACACATCTACAGCACACACACACACACACACACACACACACACACACACACACACACACAGAAGATGGATATTTGATGGATGGATTTGGAAGGTTACAGTATGTTTCCATAGTACCTTAAACTCTTTTATTTTCGAAAGATCAAGGCACATTTTAATCCTCATGACATGGCCTCCTAATAGTGCAAAGCATCACAGATAAACTGGAAAGATGTGGAGGGAACTAGAGATATACTCCAGCATGACAGATATGGATGGATGGATTTGGAAGGTTACAGTATGTTTTCATAGCACCTTAAACTCTTTTATTTTCAAAAGATCAAGGCACATTTTAATCCTCATGATATGGCCTCCTAATAGTGCAAAGCATCACAGATAAACTGGAAAGATGTGGAGGGAACTAGAGATATACTCCAGCATGACAGATATTAAACTGGGATTAGGGAGATTAATTTGAAACTGCTACTGACTTTTGGATCAGATCTATGAAAGTTTCTAAAGATAGATGAGCAAATTTACAAGCAGATGAACAGAGTGTACAGCTTTGCTTCAGACTAACATCTCTTCAGCACCGAGAAGAGCAATAAAATCATATTTCCTTCTGATCTTTAAATATTTGCATAATTTAAACTATATTATTTCTGAATTATTTTCCAAATGAAAACAAATCGATATATGGAGACATTTTTCTATAAAACCAATTTTTTCACATTTTTACTGAGTTCACAGCAAAATGGATTCAAAGTCTAATTTAAACATGAAAATAAACAGAATATGTTAGAATTTTAAAGAGATTTAAAACAAACAAATAAACACTATTATGTAAAAAAAAGAAGACATAAGATATTAAACAATTAGCACTATTTCTAGTTCACTAATCAAATTAGCAAAAATATGACAGTCCATATGAACTCTTTGCACAGAGTCAGATGTTCTTTCTTCCAATGAAGCACAAGATGGATTATTCTCCAATCATGCTGGATATCTCAAGTATCAAGTCTTCCACAAACATATCAAGGCAAGTATCAAGTCTTCCACAAAAAAAAAAAAAAAAAAAATCATGAGAATGCATCCACCGTATGAACGCATGCAAGCATGTGCGGTTCCTCTTCGTGAAGCACCTTTGTTTAATAATACTGCCGTGTAAAGCCCTGAATCAGTGCAGGATGAGTGTAAAGTGGCTCTCACCTTAGTCTGCAGGGCTGAGAGGGTCTCTCTGTTGACATCCAGTTCTTCCTGGATCTGCTGATTCACCTGCTGGAGTCTCACGGCTTCCTGTCTGCTACTGCTGGCCTCTGTCTTCACACGCTCCAGCAGCCTCCTGAAGAGGAGAACATGAGCCTTATTTCACCAAACTCCATCCTCCACCAGTCCTGACAACTTAATATGAGTTTCAAAGGATGAAATCACCACATCCTGCTGGAAATCGGTTGTTTTTTTTTTATTGCGGGCCGCCAGGGATGATCTACGGAAGGCTGGATCATACCAAACCAGCTCTAACCAGCAAAAACCAGGCCGGAATTTATAATATTTCAAAAGGTTAGTTCACCCAAAGATGAAAGTTCAGTCATCATTTACTCACCCTCATGTCAGTCAAAACTTTCATTCATCTTTTCGAAGTGTTGGTGGAATGGACTTTCAGTGGGGGGACAGAAATATATCAGGTTTCATTCAAAATATTTTAATTTGTGTTTTGAATGTGAATGGAAGTCTTACGGGTTTGGAGCAACATGAGGGTGATTTTCATTTTTGGGTGAACTATCCCTTTAAGCTTAGTCCTTTGTAGCCAGTATAAAGTCTGGTACACTTTGCTTCTTATTCTGGCCAAGAACCACCCATTTTCAGCGTAAGAGTCTGTCCTTTGTCAAGCTTTAAAGAAGTACACTTATTTTAATGTGTTAACTAACATACTATTGTAAAGTACTTGATTATAATTTTAACTGCAGTGCGTTATGCAATATTACATTTAACTCTTTCCACGCCAGAGTTCTTGAAAAAGTTGCCAGGCACCGCCATCA